TATATGTTACTGTGAAAGACCGAAATTAGAGAATGTCGATATTCTCCGGTGAATGTCGACATGTACAAAATATGTCGGTGAAAGACCGAATATTTAGTTATATTATTATACATTTGAAGAATCGCTAGTTTATGTCAACAAGCATAGATAAGCTTTGGTGGAGGTCGAAACGACACCTGAGAAGCCAATGTTGATAGAGAGGCGACAGTCTGTTCTTCGCTGTTTCCTTCTGCTCAAATTGGTGATATCGTACGAATACAAGTCCTTGATGTCGACCGTGGCCGTACAGATGCTCGAAATGTGTTGGCGGTTGTTGTTGGAATAGAAGACTGCGACTTTTATAAATTAGCAAACAAAGATGGCATCCTCAAGCAGTTTTATACTTGTAATCAGTTCGTAATTTGTAAAGAAAAGTTACTTTCCATAGATGAGCTTTCTTTTCAAGAAATATCGCTGAGAGAAGCAGCTGTAGCTAATTCGAAAAGTGGAGGGCAAGGCTATATACGCTGTCATTGCAAAAAGAAGTGTTCCATGAATAAATGCGGCTGTAAAAGCAAGGGACTCTTTTGCAATTCAAAGTGCCATAACAGGTTAAGCTGTTGCAATAAATAAGATTGTATAACGTTAATCATATAATTTATGTATAAGTTTATTATTGTATTATTTTCTTTAATGATTTAGAATGTGCTGTTTGTTTTAGGTTCAACAGTTTATTTACATGTGCTGTTACTTAAGCTTTCTCCTATTTTGACATATTAAAAAGTTGCATTTTTGTTTTAACGTAATAAAAATATTTTTATTCAACATTCACCATCAGTGCACACTGAATGTCGACATTTGCCAGTGTAAGTGAGAAATAATGATATTTAGCAAATATTTTGTACATACACAAAACGACTGTGTGACTGTGTGAATGCTGACATTCACCGGAGAATGTTAACATTCGCCAGATATCGGTCATTCACAGTAACATATATATATATAGTTTTTTTATATTTTAAATAAATAATTTTATTATTATCACATTATGTTTGTTTTGAGTGCCCAACTCCATCATCAATCAAATCATACCCCTCCTCTAAAATATTACCACTTGGACTAATTCTCAAACCTGTTTTACTTATCGCGAGTGAGAATGTGAACTAACTATTCTAACTGGTGTCAGGACCTTGAAAGGCGGAGATCTGTTCTCTCAGCTTTCTTATCTTAAAAATATTATCCATCNCAAGCATTTACAGCACATTGATTTAAAAGTTGATTGTAATCAGCATATATTTTGACAGAAGTTATATATTTATTAAATACTTTTGTTTTTATAGTTGTTTGAAAAAAGCAATTTAATACAGATTATATCATGTATGTGTGTATGTATATGTATGTATTTATGTGTATATATATATATATATATACACACACATATCAATCATACATACATACAGTAGAATGATTATTTTAGAATGCCTTTTGATTATTCAAATATAAATTATTTATACAATATGTACAGTATTTAACATATTCATTAAGTCAACATTTCAAAAACTGCTTATTTATTTTAAATTCTTGGTGCATTATTCTATTTAAAATTTCTTGATGTAAAGTACATATTAAAAATATTTTTTTATACATATCGGTGTATTAGAATTATAATGTTCTTAAAAACAGTTATATTTTTAAATTTGTTTTGAAATTTTGTTCTGTTCTATATCTTTGATATGTGACCTGAGCATTACTAAATGATGGTCAAAAACATTTGTTCTATGAAATAAAGTCAATTTTCTGGAATATTAAGATGTATTTTTTACAAAAACTCTTTGTTTCAGGTTTGGTTTATATGTATTAATGTTATTCAAGACAATATATTTTAATGTATTTGTTAATTTTACACATAATAATATATGTAAAATGGTTTATTTATTTACTTTGATATTTCAGAATGCTTTTGTATTTTAAAGCTCAGTATTAGGCTATTCAATAATATTTTATACTATTGAATGATATATTATTTAATTATTTTAACTATTACTTTATTAATAAATTTATTTCTTAGTTGCTTGAGGTTGGGCAGAATGTTGAAAGTTTGCTGAAAAAGCATGTTGTGCAATTACGTTTGAATGATAAAGGAAATTATGGTAAGAAAAATGCTCTAAATATATAATTTTTTACATTGTATATATTGTTTTATATGTGAAATGAATGTAACACATAACTTTACTGTTATTTATTTAGTCATATAATTTTTTAATTTATAATTGGTTGTTATTCCACTTAATACTGGATAATTTGTTAGTTTTATATTCATTTTTATCATGTTAATTTATATTTCTAAATTAATATTCTTTACAATTAAAATATCTTGGTCATAAGTGAAGCTGAGAACAATATAAGTTACAAAGTAACACAAAAGTTCATTTACATTTTGTGTATTCATTTCTCACATTTGATTGAATGACAGAACACTTTGAAACAGATTTAATTTTGGCATACAAAGAGAGCAAATAAAAAAAATATATATAAATCATGAATTATCTTTAAGTTTACACAATTACATAACAACAGTATTTTTTTAAACATTCATGTATAAAATTAAAAATTCTATTAAGGTTTTGCTTATATTAGTTTTACATGTAATCAAAAATTTATTGTTTTTCAATTAAATGAAAGTAAAAAAATCACCAGTTATTTAGTATTAAAATATAAGCCTACCCATTTAATCAAACAAAGTTCCACATGTGAATTGTGAAAGAATACTTTGTCAACAAAGATGAGAACAGTAACAGTACAATAAATTTTATGAATTTTGATTTAGGTGAGGATTAGTACTTTGAAAAGAATTCTGGAAAGTTTAAAAAGAATTTACTGGGGTGACTTTTTAAAACAATACAAATTTAAAAAAGATTAAAGAAATTTTAATTATACTCATAAAACTTTGATTTTATAACAATATAAGTTACCCTAACTAACTATTTTTCCAGAGATCAACCTGAAAAACTCTGATTCTTAACTCTTAAGTATTTTTGAGCTTATCCAGTTTATCTTCAGGGGCTCTTTTGTTTTAATTTTCTCTGTGAATATTTTCATGATGATGAATTAAAAATTGTGATTGTAAATGTAACATCAATTCCAGTTGACAATGATGATAATTTTCAATTGAATGCATTTATAAATTATTTATTACTGTAATGGATGAATTATTTGGTATTCTTGAAACTATTTTTCCATGTTGAGCTGATTTGTATTTTGTGACTTTTATATATTTCATTTTTATTTTATTAAAATTAGAAAAGTAAATTATTTACAAATTATGTTATTATTTAGCATACTCATTATGACTGAAAAGATTTCTTGATATGGTCATACTTCAAAATGATTGTTTTTAAGGATTCTTTTTTGCCTTAAATATCATGCATGAGAAGAAAAATAATCATTTTCTATAGATGTTAGAAAAATTGAGATAATTTTCATGTTTTTTTTTGACTGATTTGAAAACCTTTCATGAATATGACCAAAAAAACTTTAAAAAAATGTCTTTCTGTCAAATCTAAGATGAAATGAAATAAATTTCATTAATTATATTGTCATTAATATCACTATAAGTTGTAAAATTTTGTCGGATGACAATTTTACAAAAATTAATTTGAAGATGTAGTCTGTCCGAAATTGGTAACCACCATTTATTCACTTCTTGTGTTCCAGAATACAAACAATTGACGATCTGACCTTTTTTTTGTATGCTGCTTCACCATCAAGTTTAAAAACATTCCTTTAAAAAACAGAAAAATATCCAATTAAAATTACAAAGTGAAAATTGGAACTGGCAGATCTTACAGACATCATTTTTCTTTCCATCCTTACCCTTAAATACTACTTTAAGTTTTAAAATGTTATTACAGTATATTATAATTTAATTTAATGTCATCTTTAAAAGTAGGCAACTTTGATAAGCTTTAATGTTTTATATTGAACAGCTGATGAAAATTTGACAAGCTATTTGGGATTAGACATATCTGAACAGAAAAAGTGATAAATCATCAAACTAGTTTTTTTCATTTTTTAAAATAATTTTTAAGTATTTTCCAGAATAAAATGTGTTGTTCTGTTCTATATCTTTGATATGTGACCTGAGCATTACTAAATGATGGTCAAAAACATTTGTTCTATGAAATAAAGTCAATTTTCTGGAATATTAAGATGTATTTTTTACAAAAACTCTTTGTTTCAGGTTTGGTTTATATGTATTAATGTTATTCAAGACAATATATTTTAATGTATTTGTTAATTTTACACATAATAATATATGTAAAATGGTTTATTTATTTACTTTGATATTTCAGAATGCTTTTGTATTTTAAAGCTCAGTATTAGGCTATTCAATAATATTTTATACTATTGAATGATATATTATTTAATTATTTTAACTATTACTTTATTAATAAATTTATTTCTTAGTTGCTTGAGGTTGGGCAGAATGTTGAAAGTTTGCTGAAAAAGCATGTTGTGCAATTACGTTTGAATGATAAAGGAAATTATGGTAAGAAAAATGCTCTCATATTATGTTTGTTTTGAGTGCCCAACTCCATCATCAATCAAATCATACCCCTCCTCTAAAATATTACCACTTGGACTAATTCTCAAACCTGTTTTACTTATCGCGAGTGAGAATGTGAACTAACTATTCTAACTGGTGTCAGGACCTTGAAAGGCGGAGATCTGTTCTCTCAGCTTTCTTATCTTAAAAATATTATCCATCCCGAACTCATGAGCAGGTATTACCACCCCTGATCTCACAATATGTTTTCAAACAATTTCATAAACTTAAAAATACCTGAGAAAACACTTGTTTAAATTATCTTGCAGCATTCTGTTATTAATCTTAATTTTTTATTATTTACTTTTTAGGAAACAAATGATATTGTCTACATATATTTATATTTTTGTTATAATATATATATACAATAGAACCATATTTATCTGAAATAAAGAGTACTGATTCTGTTTTGGATAATTCAATTTTCAGTGTAAAAGTGCAATGAAACATCAGGTACATCCCAAAACATAATTATAGTATTCTGCATGTATTAATGTATTAACCGAATTGAAAATAGTTTGTCTTTCTTTCTTTGTCCAAAATAATTTACATATCTTGTTTGTACTTATTGGTAAGAAATACTCCATATACATAGATAAGTTAGATGAATATATTACCAACACAGAATGTTCATTAGCATTCCACAGTTTCCTTGATTGTTTGCAATGCAAAGTGAAGAGGTTCACCAACACAAGGCAAATGTTGGTGAACCAGGTGAACCAGCAACAGGTATATGTTATCTAACAAAACAAAGCTCAATTTCTTGTATCAGTTTCTGCAATATTATGGCCTTGTACAGTACATGTCTTTATAGTCGGATTATGTGTATGTTATGTTAAATCATCATAAATTGATTTCTTTTGGTTATTTTAGTGGTGAACAAGCATGCACCATGTGTTTGCTGGTAAGAATTTTTTTGTCCCTGGATAAATGTTCAGTGGACATTTTATATATATACTAGCTTACCCGTCACGCATTGCTGCGATCTCAGAAGAAACAAAATTCAAGCAAACTCGATTATGATAAAATTAAATTTACATTTTATCATTTTTATTGAAACTTATTATTATTATATTATTATTCATTTTCATTGGGAAAACATTTCAAAGTATCGTTTCAATTCTATTTATTTATTGGAGTGCTTGTGGATACACGATATTTTTTGTTTTTCCGTCTGGTGCATACACAAATAAATCAGAAGGTTTTCCGATGCGTGAGCTGGCCACATACAGTTGTAAATGCGAAAAGCACAGATTCTTTAAATTTAGCCCACATACTCGCAGAGATTGTTAGAAGTGCGATATTCCCCATTTTTATATATTTTTTTAAATCCTTTATAATTTTGATTATTTAATTGCTCCTTCCTCTCTTCCTTGGCATGTTGTGAAATTTCTGATAGTTGGATAATAAACCGTTTTATTGTAATTTGTCTTTTTAAATTATTTTGAGTNGGAATAATATACAGCCTATGTCCACCCTGAAGTTCCATTCTAAATATTGGTGAAAAAATTTTTAAAATCGGATGAGTAGTTTCGGAGATTACCTGCTATATCCAAACTTACTTACTTACAAACACTACCTCTTTATAATATTAGTATAGATAAATGTTACACACAGCCAATCAAATCATTTTCACCTGACACATGATCCATTATCTACCAATCACACAAACAAATATTCCACTCAAGACATTTGGTAAAACTGCTGCCATTATTTCTCTCTTGCTTCAAGATTTAATTGAGGATTTCAAGCATTTACAGCACATTGATTTAAAAGTTGATTGTAATCAGCATATATTTTGACAGAAGTTATATATTTATTAAATACTTTTGTTTTTATAGTTGTTTGAAAAAAGCAATTTAATACAGATTATATCATGTATGTGTGTATGTATATGTATGTATTTATGTGTATATATATATATATATATACACACACATATCAATCATACATACATACAGTAGAATGATTATTTTAGAATGCCTTTTGATTATTCAAATATAAATTATTTATACAATATGTACAGTATTTAACATATTCATTAAGTCAACATTTCAAAAACTGCTTATTTATTTTAAATTCTTGGTGCATTATTCTATTTAAAATTTCTTGATGTAAAGTACATATTAAAAATATTTTTTTATACATATCGGTGTATTAGAATTATAATGTTCTTAAAAACAGTTATATTTTTAAATTTGTTTTGAAATTTTGTTCTGTTCTATATCTTTGATATGTGACCTGAGCATTACTAAATGATGGTCAAAAACATTTGTTCTATGAAATAAAGTCAATTTTCTGGAATATTAAGATGTATTTTTTACAAAAACTCTTTGTTTCAGGTTTGGTTTATATGTATTAATGTTATTCAAGACAATATATTTTAATGTATTTGTTAATTTTACACATAATAATATATGTAAAATGGTTTATTTATTTACTTTGATATTTCAGAATGCTTTTGTATTTTAAAGCTCAGTATTAGGCTATTCAATAATATTTTATACTATTGAATGATATATTATTTAATTATTTTAACTATTACTTTATTAATAAATTTATTTCTTAGTTGCTTGAGGTTGGGCAGAATGTTGAAAGTTTGCTGAAAAAGCATGTTGTGCAATTACGTTTGAATGATAAAGGAAATTATGGTAAGAAAAATGCTCTAAATATATAATTTTTTACATTGTATATATTGTTTTATATGTGAAATGAATGTAACACATAACTTTACTGTTATTTATTTAGTCATATAATTTTTTAATTTATAATTGGTTGTTATTCCACTTAATACTGGATAATTTGTTAGTTTTATATTCATTTTTATCATGTTAATTTATATTTCTAAATTAATATTCTTTACAATTAAAATATCTTGGTCATAAGTGAAGCTGAGAACAATATAAGTTACAAAGTAACACAAAAGTTCATTTACATTTTGTGTATTCATTTCTCACATTTGATTGAATGACAGAACACTTTGAAACAGATTTAATTTTGGCATACAAAGAGAGCAAATAAAAAAAATATATATAAATCATGAATTATCTTTAAGTTTACACAATTACATAACAACAGTATTTTTTTAAACATTCATGTATAAAATTAAAAATTCTATTAAGGTTTTGCTTATATTAGTTTTACATGTAATCAAAAATTTATTGTTTTTCAATTAAATGAAAGTAAAAAAATCACCAGTTATTTAGTATTAAAATATAAGCCTACCCATTTAATCAAACAAAGTTCCACATGTGAATTGTGAAAGAATACTTTGTCAACAAAGATGAGAACAGTAACAGTACAATAAATTTTATGAATTTTGATTTAGGTGAGGATTAGTACTTTGAAAAGAATTCTGGAAAGTTTAAAAAGAATTTACTGGGGTGACTTTTTAAAACAATACAAATTTAAAAAAGATTAAAGAAATTTTAATTATACTCATAAAACTTTGATTTTATAACAATATAAGTTACCCTAACTAACTATTTTTCCAGAGATCAACCTGAAAAACTCTGATTCTTAACTCTTAAGTATTTTTGAGCTTATCCAGTTTATCTTCAGGGGCTCTTTTGTTTTAATTTTCTCTGTGAATATTTTCATGATGATGAATTAAAAATTGTGATTGTAAATGTAACATCAATTCCAGTTGACAATGATGATAATTTTCAATTGAATGCATTTATAAATTATTTATTACTGTAATGGATGAATTATTTGGTATTCTTGAAACTATTTTTCCATGTTGAGCTGATTTGTATTTTGTGACTTTTATATATTTCATTTTTATTTTATTAAAATTAGAAAAGTAAATTATTTACAAATTATGTTATTATTTAGCATACTCATTATGACTGAAAAGATTTCTTGATATGGTCATACTTCAAAATGATTGTTTTTAAGGATTCTTTTTTGCCTTAAATATCATGCATGAGAAGAAAAATAATCATTTTCTATAGATGTTAGAAAAATTGAGATAATTTTCATGTTTTTTTTTGACTGATTTGAAAACCTTTCATGAATATGACCAAAAAAACTTTAAAAAAATGTCTTTCTGTCAAATCTAAGATGAAATGAAATAAATTTCATTAATTATATTGTCATTAATATCACTATAAGTTGTAAAATTTTGTCGGATGACAATTTTACAAAAATTAATTTGAAGATGTAGTCTGTCCGAAATTGGTAACCACCATTTATTCACTTCTTGTGTTCCAGAATACAAACAATTGACGATCTGACCTTTTTTTTGTATGCTGCTTCACCATCAAGTTTAAAAACATTCCTTTAAAAAACAGAAAAATATCCAATTAAAATTACAAAGTGAAAATTGGAACTGGCAGATCTTACAGACATCATTTTTCTTTCCATCCTTACCCTTAAATACTACTTTAAGTTTTAAAATGTTATTACAGTATATTATAATTTAATTTAATGTCATCTTTAAAAGTAGGCAACTTTGATAAGCTTTAATGTTTTATATTGAACAG